AGTACTGGAAGTCCTAGCCAGAGCAATCAGGCAACAGGAAGAAATAAAATGCATCCAAATAGGAGAGGAAGGCATCCAATAGAAGAAGTCAAACTCTCTCTCTTTGCTGACAGTATGATTTTATACCTAGAAACCCCTGAAGACTACCAAAAAGCTCCTAGAACTGGTAAACAATTTCAGTAAAGTTTCAAGATACAAAAATCAATGTAGAAAAATCAGTAGCATTCCTATACACCAATAGCATTCAAGCTGAGAGCCAAATCAAGAGCACAATCCCATTTACAATACCCCACTCCCACACACACACCTCCCTAGGAATACATCTAACCAAGGAGGTGAAAGATCTCTAGAAGGAGGAGTAAAAAACACTACTGAAAGAAATCATAGATGATACACACAAATGGAAAAACAGTTCATGCTCATGGATTGGAAGAATCATTATCATCAAAATGGCCATACTACCCAAGCAGTCTACAGATTCAATGCTATTCCTATCAAGCTACCAATGTTATTTTTCACAGAATTAGAAAAAACTATTCTAAAATTCATATGGAACAAAAAAGAGCCCAAATAACCACAGCAATCCTAAGCAAAAAGAACAAAGCCTGAGGTATCACATTACCCAACTTCAAACTATACTGCAAGGCTGCAGTAACCAAAACAGCATGGTACTGGTACAAAACTAGACACAGAGCAATGGAACAGAATAGAGGATCCAGAAATAAAGCCACACCCCTACTACCATCTGATCTTCAACAAAGTTAACAAAAATAAGCATTGGGGAAAAGACCCTATTCAATAAATGGTGCTGAGTTGGCTGGCTAGCCATATGCAAAAGAAAAATGAAACTGGATCCTTGCCTTTCTCCATATACAAAAGTTAACTCAAGATGGAGTAAAGATTTAAATGATTATGCTCCTCACCTTGTCATCTCTAATGTCAGTGTCCCTCAAATCTGTAGTACCTGCATCTTACACTCTGTCCACTGCCTCTTATTCTTTCAGTCTGTTCTAGTACTCACACTTCAACATTTCTTTGATCTCATTGAGATCTTAATCCATTGTCACTACCACTTTTTTTCACTACCCAACATCCTTATTTTCCTCTGTTCTCACCATAATTCTCAGAGTCCATCTTTTTAAATACTTTTGTAACTCCCTTGCCCTTCTTTTTCTTCCTTGCCTGCCCAACCCCAACTCTAAAACCACCTCTGCTCCTGTCCTGGAAGAGCAGAATATTGCTGGGGAAAAACTGCATGCTAGTCTCATTTTGACATTTCACTGACCAGTCTCACTCTAAATTCATGATCATGAATCTTAAGTGGGCACTCAGCACTGCCTATAAAGCCTACTGCCTATAAATCCTATCACTCTTCCCTCGTATATTTATTTTCCCACTCTGCAAAATAAATTTATCACACTTCTTTCCACTCCTCAAATACTCTTCCCCTCTTACTCTTGGCTGTTCATTTATATAATACTTCAGAGAAAATAAAGATTGATTATAGAAATCACATTGTTGCAACTGGAAATGTGCCATCATACCTGCATTTGTATGCTTTGCCTTTTCTGCCTCTTGCACTGTAAGAAATGTCTCTACTGCAATCAAAGGCTACCCCTCAGCCCTTGTGTTCTGGATTCCATTCCTTGCAGTCATCTGAACAACCTTGCTCTTGCATCTGTTGTGCAATTCTCATTTTTCTCTCCAACATCATCACACTCTTCCTCCTCACTGGATTGTATCCATTAGGATAGAGACATACCCTAATATCCCCCATCTTAATTAAACAAAGCCTTCATTTATCTCGCTTTACTTCCCTCTCCACTTCTCTGTTCCCCTTCAAAAAAAAAATTTAAGGCCAGAATTTAGTGTAGATGATGCTGTTTTTCCACCTCCCGTTTTATCTTCTTTCCACTACAAATCAGACTCTGGTTTCCATCACTCTTCTAAAACATTTCTTCTCAAGGCCACTCACAATTTCCATATTGCCAATTCCAACAGCCAGTCTTTTATGCCCATTCTACTTTCCTTTCCAGCAGCATTTAACACAGTCGACCAGTCTCTGCTCAAAACACTTTCTTCTTTTAGCTTTTTTGATAATACTTTCAAGTTCTTTATCTTTTCTCATTGGTCACTCTTTAGTTTTCTAGGAGGGCTCCTTTTTGGTGTGACCCCTAAATGCTGATGAACCTAGGGCTTTGTTTTTGGCTCTCCTTCCTTAAGTTACCACATTCTCCCTCTGGAAGACTTGCCAGTCTGATGGTAGTAATGTCATCTTCAGACTGATGATTCCCAAATCTGTATTGCTGCTGCTGACCACCCCTTTGAAACAAAACTACTCCTCTCTTCAGCTGTCTATTATGCATTTCTTCTTGATGGCTAATGAGCATCTCAAATACAGCAAGTCTAATCCAGAACTCTTGATTCATCTCCCTCGAAAAATCTGTTTCTCTCCAGTATTTCTCATCCCAATTAGTATTAAATTGGTCAGAATTGAAATCTAGGACGCATTCTTGACTGGTCTTACCCTCACAACATTCCCCGACTGTGCTGTCTCCAGGGTCCATCCCCAATGTGACCACTTCACTTCTCTGCTAAAATCTTAGGTCAACATTTTTTTTTATTAGACTAATTAACAGCCTTTTAAGTGATCTCTCTATTTCCATTCTTGTGCCAATACAAACCAGCCTCCATACACCTACCAGAATGATGTTCTCAAGTATAAACCAGATCACATCACTTCCCTGCTTCCACTCCTGTGGCTTCCCTTTGCCGTTAGAATAAAAGCTAAACTTTTCACAACGGTCTGCATCAGCTTCTGGAAGCCCTGGGATAGTTTGTCACAGAGAGTAGCCTGTAACTTAATTTTAGTCTGTAAATATTAACCAGCATAAAGTGTTTATTTTATTATTTCTGCATTAAATAGTCATTTTTTGCAAGAATCTGGTCATGTGATAGCATGCTGGACATCTATAATTATTCCCACTTAAAATATTCCACCGTTAGGCTGGGTGGTGGCTCACACCTGTAATTTCGGCACTTTGGGAGGCTGAGGCGGTCAGACCACTTGAGGTCAGGGGTTCGAGACCAGCCTAGCCAACATGGAGAAACCCTGTCTCTACCAAAACTACTAAAATTTAACCAGACATGGTGGTGCACACCTGTAATCCCAGCTACTCAGGAGGATGAGGCATGAGAATCGCTTGAACCTGGGAGGCAGAGGTTGCAGTGAGTGGAGATTGCACCACTGCACTCCAGCCTAGGTGGTGGAGTGAGACTCTGTCAAATTTAAAAAAAAAAAATTCCACCATTATCTGTAAAACTAGACTTAACTCTCAGAAAGGCAAAGTTTATCTTTAGTTTTCCTCTTCCTGGAAAAAGTATACAATAATAAATAACACTTCCTTCTACAGCTTTCCTTAAACAGAAAAGAGCTGGCAGTTAAAACTCACACTTCACAATATGACTTGTTCTACAAATGTCCTCTTTTGGAAATAAAGTATATGTGTTAGATTGCCAAGGGTCCTTAGCCTCCCCTCCTCCCCAGCCCAGTAGTTATGTCCTTTGACAAAACTTCAGATCAGCACCTCACATTTAAAACACAAAAGACTCCAGACATTCCTACCTAAGACCAAGAAAAGATGGGGTCGGGGAACAAAGTACTTTTAGGATTTGTGATGTGTTCAATCTTCTTCATTTACAAGGTTTTAATGAAACTTTAGCAAAAGTTTTTTCTATTTTTAAAATCACAAATAAAAAAGTAAATCATAGTTTTTCCTCTCTTGGAGTTTACATTTTAATTTTCTTCTTTGGAGTTTTAAAAAATTATTATTAACTAAAATTGTATTCCTGAAATAGGAGCATCTTTATGCTTAGAAGGGTACTGTTAGGGAGGAAAAATTTTCCTCTGTTCTCTTATGCTTAGTGAATAGGGCTCTATGAATTAAATCAACAAATAACAGATTTTTTTTTTTTTTTTTTTTTTGAGATAGGGTCTCTCTTTGTCTCCCAGCCTGGAGTCGCATGATCATAGTTCACTACAGCCTTGACCTCCCAAGCTCAAGCGATCCTCTCACCTCAGCCTTCTGAGTAGCTGGGACTACAGGCATGCACCACCAGGCTAATTTTGCATTTTTTGTAGAGACAGGGTTATACCATGTTGCCCAGGCTGGTCTCAAACTACTGGGCTCAAGTGATCCTCCTGCCTCGGCCTCTCCAAGTGCTGAGGTTATAGGTGTGAGCCACCATGCCCAGCCCAAATAACAGATTAACAGGATAAAAGGCACAAAATTTTTTTTTATTATTTATGAGCATGGCAGTCCACAAAAAAGAAATGAAGCTCAAGTGGTTAAATCAGGAAATTACGTACCATTTTCACAAAGGAAGTGGATTTAGGAATCAAGGAACAATTAGCTGTAAGGAAGTTGTGACTAGAAAATATATAGGGGAACTAATGGCAGATAAGGGCTCCCTATCTCCAGTGATAAAAATGCTCTTTTTTTTTTTTTTCTGGTACAAGGGGCAATTTATGCTTGCTTTTAAGCAGATAAAGGGAGGGTAGAGACTGCGTTTATTGATTCTCAATTGCCTTCAGGTAAAAAAAAAATCCTTGAACCAAAGTGGCATATTTTGGTGTGGCATATTCTGATGCCCTTCTATGTAAAAAAAGATACAGTACAATTTGGAAGATACTTTAAGAGAATGAACCAATACCTTAAGAGGATTGGTTTTAAGGGCATATTATTCCCAGCAGTAATCATTCTAGGAGTCAATCAGATGGTTGGCTAATATTATGTGGTGTAAGTTTAAGTTACTTCATCTTTCCAACGCTTGGGGAAGTGAGAGTCAAAGTGCTGAGAGGGAGTTGAGGCAAGAGAGGACAACAAGTTGGAAGATGGAACTGACTCTGGGCTCTTGCCCCTGAAGGCCTAACACCATACAATTGAGTGACTCACCTTGTAAAGTTGCCTGGCTTTAATTTTCCTTTTCTTTCATGGCAGGTGTTTACGTAGGCGTAACCTTTTGTGGATTCTGGCATTATTCTGATACCACATGGTTTAACATGACAGAGGCTATCTATTCCCTACTTGAAGGAGGTAACTCCTCTAACATTGCCTTCATCTTGAGCATTTTACTTATATCAATATTTGATTAATATCTATAAATTGTCTTTGCTTCACTAAGGAGCTCACTTTTTTCTTAATTTTTAATCTATGGTATGATTTCTTGGTTTAGAACATGAAGACCTTTCATTGGTGGATATGGTTTTAACAAATCATTTTTTAGTCGTCCTCACCTCTTTGGGCCTTTTTATAAGTGACGATCTTCGTTATCCATCACACCGCATTTTATCGGTATGTAAACTGCTTTGTAACTAGTAGCTAACCTTAAATATCTTCTGTGACACAAAAAGAAATATTTAATACTTGAGTTATGTGTGGTGTATCTTAAAATTGAAATGCTTCTTTCTTTCGAAAAACAAAGGCATAATACAGCAACTTTTTCCTTTGCCTTGTGGTGTTGAATATGTAATTTGGAAATGGTGCTAGTTTTATTGCTGTATGAATTTATAGTAAGTTTTAAATATATACATGTAGAAAAGATCTGTCTATCTACCTATTGATTGATCCATTTATTTATAGCTATGTATGTTACCCAAATGCTTTAAGGTAATTCATAAAGCCACATATAGTATTACAAAGTAACGTAAGTGAAAAGTAAGTATTGGGATTGAGCAAAGGGAAATACACATTTAGGTGAAGATTGTTAATATGCATATATCATAAAATTCTTAAACATGTTAACAAATACCTCTCAAAAATTACCACAACAGAGATGAGACCAGCAATAAAGACTTGGGATCCGCAGGAGAAAAGATAGAGGGAAGTAAAGAAGGGGAAATGGTATTGATTGAGAGGCAGATATTTTTTATACATGGTAATTATTATCTTTCTTCAGGTATAAGAATATTCACATATACTTGAACCTTCTTCACCATCTCTAAGAAAGTACCATTTGTTGCTCAGATGACTAGTGGATCTGGGTGGTTTTTTTTTTACATGCTTATTATATAATTGCTAAAACAGAGAGCTGAAACCAGGAATGCTACAATGGCTTAAATTCAAAGTGCAGAGAAGTAGACAGGGATTGTATATGATAAGTCCTGATCTCCAGACTACTCTGGGCTGGGCAGAAGAAACAGAGTGGCAAAGGAGAAAATAATAGGTTGAGGGTGTGCCTTCCTAAACCCAAGTGGGCAGCAGACTTGCATATGCCAGCACACTTCCTTTTTTTTTCTTTTTCTTTTTTTTTTTTTTTTTTTGAGACTGAGTCTTGCTCTGTCGCCAGGCTGGAGTACAGTGGCGTGATCTCAGCTCCCTGCAATCTCCTCCTCCTGGGTTCAAACAATTCTCCTGCCTCAGCCTCCCGAGTAGCTGGGATTACAGGCATGCGCCACCACACCCAGTTAATTTTTGTATTTTTAGGAGAGATGGAGTTTCACCATGTTGGCCAGGCTGGTCTCGAACTCCTGACCTCGTGATCCATCTGCCTCAGCCTCCCAAAGTGCTAGAATTACAGGTGTGAGCCAACGCACCCGGCCCACCTGCATACTTCTTAATTCTTCCATTTAAATCATTAAAAGGCATGGTTTTCTTCTGGAATCACACTAAGGTATAAGTAAATTAATAAAATAATGAAATAAGGCAAAGACTGATGGGGAAATTCCCAGGATATTGTATAAACTATATCAGAGTCTGCTTTTAATGTTTGGCTATCCTAACTGCTAGGATAGAAAAACCATATAATTTTGGTATAATTTTTTTCAAGGAATGTATATGGTTTATTTCCTTTGGTATAATTTAAATTGCTATGTTTTGTTAGGCCTTCTGATATGCAAGCAAATATTAACGTTTTTTCTTTTCTTCTAGTTTTCCAGAGCAGACTTTTGTGGTTTTGAAAGGGTAAGAAGCTTTACATTTCCCAGGGCTGGTTAGAAGATATATGTTTACTTGGTGACTTGAGATGAGATGCAAAGTCAATAATTCACAATATATGTTATTCCAGTTACTATATTATTTATAGTTCAAACAAAATATATATTTAAATATATATGAATTTATAGCATATATTATTTTTATATATATTTGTAGCAATCATTAAGTAGTGCTCGCCTCCTCTGCTTCAAAGGAAGAAGTGCTCCTCCCTGTTTCAGAGGCCACCCTCACCTTGTCTCCTATGCTATGTCCAGGCTAGCTGTGGTTGTTCAGTTCAGATTCTGCACAAGGGCACTTGATTGAAGACAGTAGGTGCTGGGGTCTGGCTAACATTTTACTCCCCAATCCATCTACCCAGGCGTAAGTCTATCCTACTTGGAGAGAGGAGTATCTTTTCTAACTTACACAAAAATGTGACATAATCTAGTCACTGGTCTGCTTCTGGCCTTTTGGGGGATTTTGTTCCATCAGTTATCTCCTCTGTATGTTAAAAAGTCAAGTTTTGTGATTAATGGACTAGGTCATTCCCATCAGAATATAAGCATGCTTCGGTTGGAAAACCACAAATGAAATCATGAGTGTTCCTAGCCATTTGCCATATGCCCTCCCTATTCTGTCCTCATAGAGTGAGCAGATGGCTATGAACCAGGAAGGTGGCCCTCACCAGGCACTGAATCTGCCTGCACTTTATCTTGTATTGTGCAGGCTCCAGTCTGTGTGCACATGTGCATGTGCACATACACCCACATTCACACTGTCTGTGAGAAAGGAGCATTTATTTCTCAGGAAGCACATAGAACTGACTAATTGTCATACTAATCAGAGGACAAGCAAAGCAGAGAACTAAGAGAGCCAGATGGGCAAAAATGATTTGTATTATAAAGAACAGAGGAAAATAACTGTCAAAATAGAATTCCATACCTAGCTAAACTAAATAACTCAAGAATGAGAGTGAAAAGAAAATGTTCACACCTAAAGACATTGGGAGGGTTTACCATCCAGAAATCCCCATGAAGGAGTAGGATGCCAGAAGCAATGAGGAAAACTAGAATGTAAGTTCTAAGACCTAGGAGAGCAGGAGCCCTGTCTATGCTGTTCGCTACTAGATCCCAGTGTCTAGAATGGCACCTGACACAAGGTATGTACTTAGTAAATAGGTGTTCAAAAAATGGAATTGGTATAAAAAATAAGTTATGGCCAGGTGCGGTAGCCCACGCCTGTAATCCCAGCACCTTGGGAGGCTGAGGCAGGTAGATCACCTGAGGTCAGGCGTTATAGACTAGTCTGGCCAATATGACAAAATCCCATCTCTGCAGAAAATACAAAAATTAGACAGATGTGTTGGTTCACGCCTGTAATCCCAGCTACTCGGGAGGCTGAGGCATGAGAATTGCTTGAACCCAGAAGGCAGAGATTGCAGAGAGTCGAGATCATGCCACTGCACTCCAGTCTGGGTGACCGAGCTGGACTCTGTCTCAAAATAAAAATAAAAATTAAATAAATAAAAAATAAGTTATACATTTTGTGTTTAATAATTGGATGGAACCAAAACTCTAGACAATATAACAAGGAGAAATGGCAGTAGTTTTCAGTGGATAATAAAGCATTTAAGACCTTTGTAAGGAGAACCAATATGGGGAATAAGTTAAGAATTTGTTAGAAAAATATGTAATTCAGCATATATGTTAAGAATTGAAGGATAATTACCAAAAAACTAAAATAAAACAAAAAGAATATAACCTAAAGCTTCCAAACCTCCAGAGGAAGGAAAACAAGATTAAAGAACAATCCATCTATTCTACAAAAAGGAAGAAAGGAGAGGAGAGATAAAGGTTAAAGAATAGAAAAACGACGAGGTAAAACAGTAGAAATAAATCCAAATATCTCAGCAATTACAATAAGTGGAAAGGAACATTATAGGAAACTGAAGAAAAGCTAATACATATTTTAAAAAGTTACACCTAAAGAAGAATCACACAAAAAGTAAAATAAATGGACGGAGGAGACTGTGACCTTTAACTCTGTTTAGCTTTCATCTTCAGCCTACCTGCCCTGCTAAGTCAAAAGGCTGCTGGGGTCACTGGACAGCTGGGCTCACTGGAAGCCTGCTTTGAGGAATCTCACTGAGGAGATCTGGCATGCCGTTACCTCACTCATGGGTTACCTAAGAACAAAGTGCTTGGCAATACGGAGCGGGGAGTAGAGGACTGGAAGGTGAAGGATTCTAGAGGGAGTCTGACTGGCAGAGCTCCACGAACTCCTAGGGAAGGGTTCTCTCAGCTTTGGGAGTGTGGCTGAGGGTGAGGCTAGAGATAGGCCTACCTGGAGGGCTGCATTCTCTCTGTGCCTGAGGTAGGCAGGCTGAAGGAGACCGGGAAAGAAGGGAGCCCCTTCTGTTTCCAAAGTGGTGGCATGGCAGCCCAGAGGGCTACAGACCACTTTGCCATCTATTATTCCAGTTGTCAAAATTCGAGGTGCTCCACAAACCATACCTGAGCCCATACTTCAAGGCACACTTAAGTAGCCTGGCATTCTGCGAGCAAAGATCATTAGAATAAAACTAGAGTTGCTGGTGGATAAGGCAACAATTGAACAAGAATAACATTTTTAAATAAAATCATTTCACAAATACCCAATGAGCACCTACTCTGTGATTACCATCATTAGCACTGAGGTATTAGCAAGAACACAGTCAATACCAATAAAGAGCTTCAAGCGCAGCATAAAAATACTTCCTGGGACTGAATACCAAAATTTCCATTAAAAATGGAATAAATTGAAGGATAGAATGACCACTGTTTAAATGCAGAGTAGTGGCATGGAAAATCAAGATGAAGAAACTTCTCAAACCATCTAAGGAACATCACTGGAAATCACGAGGGCAAAAGTGAGCCTTTGAGGAGAGATCCAGAAGCGCTAACAGGTGAGCAAAAGAGTTTTCAGACAAATTTAAAAAGGAACAGATATAAGACAGGCAATAATAACAAAAAAAAGAAGAACAGTAACTCAGATTAAGAAAGTTCCAAAGCTATATATTATAATCCACTAAATTCCAGGGAGCACTGAAAAAATGTAGGCATATCCAAGGAATATTCCTCAATTTTAAGGTTAAGGGGGAAATATTACAAGTATCCAAACAGAAAGAGCAAATGCAAAATATACCTCACTGGTATTAGATTTTATTTACACAACAGTAGAAGCTTGAAGACTATGAAATCAACATCTACAGTCTATTTAACACAAAAGAACCAAAGTCCAGAATTTCTATTTCCAGCCAAGAGATTATTCACCTTTCAGATTAAGAAAGTATACGACCTGGTTATCCCAACTAAAGAAAATACTCAAGAAAGAACTTTTAATAAAACAAATGAAAAAGAACAGACATTTCAATAAAGGGGAAGAAAACGAGGAGAGGACTAGTGATGAGAAATGCTTGACTGTTTCTCTCATTTTATCTCATATTTATTCGTGTGTTTTCTGTCTATCCATATAAATAAAAATGGAGTACTAGATAATTTTTTTTTTTTTTTTTGAGACAGTCTCCCTCTGTTGCCCAAGCTGGAGTGCAGTGGCAATCTCGGCCCAGTGCAACCTCCACCTCCTGGGTTCAAGTGATTCTCCTGCCTCAGTCTCTTGAATAGCTGGGATTACAGGTGTGTGCTACCATGCCCAGCTAATTTTTGTATTTTTAGTAAAGATAGGGTTTCACCATGTTAGCCAGGCTGGTCTCAAACTCCTGACCTTGAGTGATCCACCCGCCTTGGCCTCCCAGAGTGCTGGGATTACAGGCATGAGTCACCGTGCCCAGCCTAGATAAGGATTTTTGAACAGAGACATCTTAGCCAATGTGAGCTGCTATAACACAATTACCATAGACTGGGTGGCTTATACAGAACAGAAATTTATTTCTCACAGTTCTGGAGCCTGGACAGTCCAAGATAAAGGTGCAGGCAGATTCAGTGTCTGGTGAGGGCTGCCTTCCTGGTTCGTAGACAGCCATGTGTTCACTGTGTCCTCACATGGCAGGGGGCAAGAGACTCCCTGGGTTCTCTTTTATAAGAGCACTAATTCGATTCACTGAATCACCCCCACATCAAATAAGGGTACTAATTCCATTCACCTTATCACCTCCCAAAGGCCCCACCTCCCTCCCATACAGCCTATAGCAAGAAAGGACATGTTGCAAGGGAAATGAGAATTTTCAACACCTAAAAATTATGATGTTCAAATAGGTAATACATTCACATAGTTAAAAACTAAAAAAGTTACAAAAAGATATAGACTGAAAAGTCTCTATCCCGCCTCTCTGTATATTCACCCTGATTTTTCCTTGTCCCTTACAGGTAATCTTTTTTTATTTTATATCTTTTCAGTGTTTTCTAATGGAAATTCAAATAATTAGGAATATATATATACTTTTCTTCCTTTTATTGTACTATAAATATATGTATTTATGCTGAATTATTTTCTTCACTTATCAATATCATAGGAAAAAATCCGTATTAGTAAATGGAGAATAGCCTCTTTTTCTTTTCTTTTTTTGTTTCTTTTTTACAGCTACAAGTATTCCATTGTATGAACTAACCACAGTTTATTTAAATTATCATCCATTGCTGGATGCTTGGGTAATTTCCCAATATTTTGCTATTACAAATAATGCTGCCATGAATAATTTTGTACCTAGAAATTTTATGTGTCCAGACATGTAGATACAATACATCCTAGAACTTGACTGGAAGGTCAAGGGATAAATGCTTATGCAATATTTTTAAAAAATCACGAATTGCCCTTCATGGAAGTTTTTACAATTAGCAAGGATATTATAATAAGTCTTATTAAACTAAAATATCTTAGTAAAACTCAGGGATGGTTGATAGTGATGAGGGAGAGGGGAAATACAGTGTTCTGAAGGTAGAGAGGTGCTGGGATTGGGGAGTGGAGGAAAGGGGAAAAGTGAAATTATTTTTTATTTTTTTATTTTTTTTGAGACGGAGTCTCGCTCTGCCGCCCAGGCTGGAGTGCAGTGGTGCGATCTCGGCTCACTGCAAGCTCCGCCTCCCGGGTTCACGCCATTCTCTTGCCTCAGTCTCCTGAGTAGCTGGGACACAGGCACCTGCCGCCACGCCTGGCTAATTTTATTTTATTTTTTTATTTTTTATTTTTTTTTTATTTTTAGTAGAGACAGGGTTTCACCGTGTTAGCCAGGATGGTCTCCATCTGCTGACCTCGTGATCCGCCCGCCTCGGCCTCCCAAAGTGCTGGGGTTACAGGCATGAGCCACCGCGCCTGGCCAAGTGAAATTATTTTTAAGGGTATAAGGATCTATCTTTAAATAAGACCTCTTTTACTAATGATTGAAGCAAAGGTGTTCAGAATGAGATATATGTGGGTGTTTAGGCAGGTAATTGAATGAGTGAATATTTAATGATTTATTCATTCAGTAAATCTCATCCATTCAACAAATATTTGTTGAGCACTTCCTATATTCAATGCTTATTCAGACAAGGAGGATTCCATAGTGAACAAGACAAAGTCCCTGCTTTCATGTAGTTTAACATTCTACTGAGGGGGTTAGACCATTAAAAAATACACAAACAAATACATAATGTGATTTTAGATAGTAATAAGTGCTTGTTGAAATTAAAGCAGAGTAAGAGAAAGAGTGAGGGGAAGATAATATTCTGTTTTAAATAGGGTGATTAAAGCAAGCCTTTTCAAAGAGATGAAATTTAAGCAGAAACTTGAGTGACTTGGAATAATTATTTTGACAGAGCATTTCCAGGCAAAAGTAATAGGAAGTATAAGATCCCTAAATTGGGGGTTTGGCATGAGATAAAATCTGTTAGTTATCCACCAAAATCTGTTTAGTGGCAACAGCAAGGAATATGGATCACTTCTTTCAGGATAAAATTAAAATTCTTGTGACACACAAAATGCTTACTGCTTCAGCCTGAGTGTACCTGCCTCTACCTGCAGCCATCTGCCTGGCCATGCTAAACCACTCACCTTCCCTGAATGCGCTAACATTTCTCACACCTCAACTCCTTTGCAGAACATGTTTTGTCTTCTTAGCATGTACTCCTTCCTCCTGTTTCACTTAGAGAATTTCAACTCATTCTTCAGAAATCCCTCCCTGACCACCAAGGTGCTCCTTCTGTGCACAGTCCAAGTTCGCAGCACAGATTCCTATCATTATCACCCTATTTGAGCCCCCAGACTAGCCTCACAAGATTTTAGGTTCCGGTCAAGGTCTATCTTATTTACTATTGTACCCTGATAAGTTACCACACGGCCTTGCACATAGGCAGTCTCGATGAATTTATTGAGTCAATGGGTGAATAAATGAAGACAGACTGGATTCAAATTTTGGACTAACTTACCAGCCATGTAACATAAAACTCTGAACAAGTTGTATAACTCTCTGGACCTCAATTTTGTCATTTTAAAATGAGTCTAACAATATCTACCTCTTAGAAATGAGGTGATCAAATAACATTACATATGAAAAATTTCAGCACCGTACATGGCACAATGTAGATACTTAAAAAAATTCATTGGGAGCCAGGCGCAGTGGCTCATGCCTATAGCCCCAGTGCTTTACAAAGCCAAAGCAGGAGAATTGCTTAAGTTCAGGAGTTCTAGACCAGCCTGGGCAATATAGTGAGACTCCTTTCCCTCAAAAAATTTAAAAATTACCCAGGCATGGTGATGCACACCTGTGGTCCCAGCTATTTGGGAGGCTGAGGTGGGAGGATGGCTTAAGCTGAAGAGTTTGAGGCTGGAGTGAGCTATGATCATGCCACTGCACTCTAGCCTGGGTGACAGAGCCAGGACCCCATATCAATCAATCAATAAACAAAGTGACTCCTCTGTCAGTGTGGTGGCTCACACCCAAAATGCCAGCACTTTAGGAGGCTGAGGTGGGTGGATCACTTGAGGTCAGGAGTTCAAAACCAGCCTGGCCAACATAGTGAAACCCCGTCTCTACTAAAATACAAAAAAAAAAAAAAATTAGCCAGGCATGGTGGCTAATAATCACAGCTACTCAGGAGGCTAAGGCAAGGAGAATCACTTGAACCTGAGAGGCGGAGGTTGTAGTGAGCCAAGATCATGCTACTGCACTCCAGCCTGGGCAACAGAGTAAGACTCCTTCTCAATTAAAAAAAACAAAAAACAAAAAAACAAAGAAGTGTCTCCTCATGTGTTCAAGTTTTATCATTAGAAATCAGCAAAGGCTTCTGCACACAAATCATACAGATTATATTATTGATCTATAAAAATGTAAGAAAGTCCTTCTTACGTCCCAACAGAAATTTGAAGGTCAGAATCTTCCTATAATAAAATAATCTCAAATTGTTGCATTTAATTAATATCCAACATTTATATCCAACATATTCAATATATTTGAAGCTTCTCTCTCATGACCAATTTTGAAAACCTTTTTCCTGTTGCTTCTTGCTGCTGTCAGGCTTCTGGGAATGCTCCTTAAACCCAGCTGCCACTAATGAGGATAAAAGATAAACATGTGACCCATTGTAACTGTGCTGAAAGACTAATGACTTCTGGTAGCTTCTGAAAGACAGTTCATAGACAAAGGCATCCTCCATTAACATACGCTAATTCATGTGTGATTTCTTTTCTTTTTATGCCTTTTTTGTGCATTGTTCAAAATGTATATTCCTGTTTCTTGTCCTCATTCTACAATCTTTCATTTTATTTGCATACAATTTTTGTCTCTTTATTTGCCTCACATTCCTGAACTATGAAACTTTGAAATTTTTTAGTTTTTTCTATCTTCTATCTTAAGATATCTTAAGTCTACATATTGGCTAAGTGATATTTTTATTTATTCATGTAGGTTGACTATGTGAAAGGAAAATTGTGGTATAGTGAAAGATGTTTTGCTAACAGAGAGCACTTTGAAGGTAAATTTTGGTTAAAGATATACTGTATTAAAAGACTTTTACATATATGAGTAACTGAATGCAAGCTCAGCCTTTGGAATGGTCTTTTAAGATGGCCAGGTTGTAGACCAACCTCCTTGAGGTAATCTCTGGAATTTCACAGCTGAGTCTCCATGTCTGATTTGTCTCAAATTTAGACCCTGGAACTTCTAAGCAAGCACATAATTATATAAGCCAGCAGTGCAACAGAGTGTCGGGTGGAAACCAAGAATTTCAAACTATGTTTCAAGGCAAAAACAAGAAAGGAAAAAACAGTTTCAAAAATGCATTTTTAACCTAAGCCACTCAGTTGCAAATTTCCATTGTGAAATTCCATTCCATTTCTATGGAAAATGGGTGGCATAGTTGATCTGGCTACTTCCTGCTGAGGAGGGCTATAGGTAGGAGGTACCAGAATGGAATTTGTCCACCTGGAGTTGGAAATATTCTCGAGTTCCTAGACTTGCAGTAGGAATTTGCGGGAGCGTTATGGTGCAGGGACATAGGAGTTTCTGAGAACATCTTTCCTGCATCCTTGTGCGGAGTATACAACAGCAATAAAATCCACAACAGCTGAAGAGGTCAATGAGCAAAATTGTGCTATATATGAAAGTCTTCCATGCACTAAGGGGCTGACTAAACCAATCCGTTACTGGGAGAAGGCATCTATAGCAGAATATGAGTATCCAGTGCATGCATGGCTTAGGTTATATTGTGAGAATAATGTAGTATATATAGACAACAGTCTTAATGCATTAGTGCCGCCCTAGGCTGCAGTCAGGATATCTACAGCCATATAGTTTTGTAAGGTCACTTGCCTAATCTGAAAGTTTCTTCAGTAAGAAGAGAGATGGCATGGTGGGTGTTATTAAAGGCAGCAGCCATATGCTTAGTCAGGGCCTCTACTTGTAATTCTACATCTATGGTCACTGCCTGGGGGAGAAAGATGGCTAGTGGGTAAAACCACCAGGATGCCCATTTTTGACAGTGGTGTCTGGCGTCTGTGCTTTTCCAGTTGGCAGGCAGAGTCTACATGGAACAGGATTCATCCTGGTAGGTAAGGGTACTCCCAGATGCATCTGCCAGTCCAATCAAAGGGTAGGAAGGGCCAATTGTGAGTGCCACAGGCCCATAGCCAGTCCCAGAGGGAAGGGTTGGCTCCATGTGAGAAGGAGCTGTTTTGCTACCCCAGCCATATAATTGCTAGTCAGTTGAAGAGTCTGATTACATTGCTGGGGAGGTAATCATCCCATGTTACAGGTGTTAGTTTGAGGTGTGCTGTGGTTGTGGTGTTCAGTGCATAGTGATGCTTGACCTATTACCTGTATTTGTACTTCTGTCAGCCATCTGACACGATTGTGTACAGCATATCCCAAGGTGGAGATGACATTGACCTACTCGCGACTTAGTTGAAAAACATGTTTCCTGATTTCCTGGCAAGTAGGAAATTCATAAGGCTTATGATAAGATGAGTTATGGCCATGAAAGGGAAATGGGTGAAGTGCCCCCTACCAGGTATAGAAGTTACTCCAAGTACTTAGGTTGGTGGCTTGCATGCACCATGGCAAGCCTGCAGTGGAAGAAAGGGCAATTCCCCACAGACCCAGCAGTCTGTTCTATTCTGGAGGGAAGCTACCATTTGTGCCCATTCAGCAAAAAGGTTAGTTTCAGCAGAGATAAATAATGTACTCATGACTACAAAACTTGTTAAGAAGTTCATGTTAAGAAAAAGGTAGTACTTATCTGTGTGATTTTTTTCCTTTAATACAGTTTTAGGTCTTTTCTTGGCACACATGAACAGGCAGGGTTGTCTGAAGTATCAGTTTGAGGATGAGCCTTCACCTGAGTGTGATGTATCCAGGGTTTAATTCCAGCCAATTTGACAGGTGAAGGCATGGTCAGCAGTGCCTCATAAGGCCCATCCATTTTTGGGTAGCTGCCAGTCAGGTCCTTGTTTTTTCCCAAGACTTTTTAGCAGTACCTTAACTCTTGGTGGAAAGGGTGAAGGGGCTCGCCCCTAGGGTGTGAGGACCTGGAAGCAGCAAACTGATGCATGGTTAGTAGTGTCTGCCCTAACTGGTGTATGTATTGTTTAATTCTTAATTCATTTATTAGGTCTAAAGGTGGGACTCCCGGGGAGGGTCTCCCATAAACAATCTCAAAAGGGCTCAACCTGCTCCCACTTTGGGGTGTTACCTTGACTCAGAGTAAGGCAATGGGAAAAATTAATCCCAAGTCAAATTACTTTCTTGACATATTTTGGCAATGCAATTTTTTTAGAGTGTGGTTCATCTCTTTAGTTTCTCCTGTCATTGTGGTCTCCAAGATGACAATCTACAAGTTGTAGGAAGGGGTGAGTCACAATTTGCCCTGACATTCCTGCAACCATCACATTCTTTTTTGAATCAGAGGATAGACAGATGTTAACTATAGAATATATAGCCCCCCATATCAATAAGAAAGTAAGTTTGTTCTCCATTGTCCATCATACTCAGGGGTCCTGTGGGGACATGATGAAAGATTGGCTAAATGTATGAATTGAACAAGTTATAGGAGGACCTATGAATATTTATGAAAGTGGTCCTGACACATGCATATTGAATGAACATGCATGTAACATATGACTCCATTTACCTTGGGGGGAGACTTAATCCTTGTCTGGTATGAGCTTAGGTCCTGTTTATCATTTGATAGCTTATTGCCATAAAGACCTGTTCTGTCAGTCTTATGATAATTAATAGTGATCAATTGTAGTGTCTAAATCATAAAACAGAGGGAATATAATGAGGCATGCCTGACTTTCCATCCCATCATGGCTGGGAATTAAGTTTTTAAGGGTTTTTCTTGGGGTTCCTTTGGCCAAGGGGGAGGATTTGTTTAGTTGGTAGGGGACTCAGTATTTTATTTTTTGGTTTATATTTCCTCTTTTTTGGTAAAGATATGCCAGAGGCAGTATCAATGGCCAAGTTTTACTTTGTCCCATACTAATGCTGGGGTGGTGTGACTACCTGTCCCAGGTCCATCATGCCCTCCAGTGGGACACCTATAGCCAAGGAACTTAGAGTCAAAAGACTTACAGCCAATTAAACATTTCAGGCCAGATTATAATGGAGGTAGGCAGGCACTCATTAACCCTTAAAATTCCTTGTAAGCAGCATAAGAGCTAAAATCCAAAAGCCAAAAAACAAAGTTATAAAATTGACTTATGTATATATTTTATGCATTGGGCTACTATAATCTTAACTTGTAGCAATTAGTTATACAAAACACAAGCATTTTGTTTAGCTGTTTAGGCATCTGTGTGCCTGTCCTTGATTTGGAAGTTCTGAACTAAGTTTATGCCTCAAAACCAGCCCTTATAATATCACATGACCACCTCTTCTGCAATAGTCCCTGGGCCTGGAAGGACTGGATAGTTTCAATTTTGGAGGTAAAGTAAAACATAATTAGCAACATTTCAAACAAAATGGTTATAAGCCTTGCCTCATTCTGAGAATGACAGGAAAGGAAGCTCACAGGTAGCTAAACATTTAAATTATTTAGAATTAAGGCACAGAATAAATTATATTAATTCAGATGGGGCAAAATTAGTAAATGAATCTTAACGTTTTTTAATACAGGCTTGTCCTGTGTCCTATTAAGGCAGTATACTTTGATTGTCACCTTTGTCTGGGTCTAAAGATGAGGCTTTGGTTGACTTGAGATTGGTATCAGATACTGGCAGAGGCAGCATCTTCTTTAGATGAGATATGTCCATCTAGGAGTTAAAGCCCTGTAACTTAACAGCACATGGATTCGTTAATAGCACCTGTTAAGGACCTTTTCAAGAAGCTGGAGATGGTGATACTGGAGTCTATGACCTGACTGGAAGCCATAAAAAGATTTACATACTTGCATTGATTAATTTTTATAGCTTTGATGAGCCCAAGAAATAAGTCAGAGACTTAATTTAGGATTTGATTTTGAGGACGTTTGTGAAAGATGCTAAAAGGCTCAAAACATTTGGTCAAAATAGAAGAATAGGTCATTGTAAAATAATAGTTATTCATTTAATCAAAGTGATAATCAAAAGACTTTAAGGGCAATGTAGAAGGTTATGTGGCTGTAAAAACCTTAACCCTTTTAAATCTCAGGTTTTTTAAGCTATCAAAAATCTAATAAAGACAACATAGAAATTATCTTGATAAGATGTAAAATCTTACATCTGACATAGGCCATCTATGGATATGGCTTATGACACAGGCCATCTATAGCATGCTTAGACTTTCTATCTTGTCCTATATTACCTCTTTCCTAAACAACCATTTTACTTTAGGACAGAAATTTACCATATAAGATATTTTCTCATATAAAAAGTATTTTAATAAGAACACAACTTACAGAATTATATAACTTTAATAACTTTAAACTTTAGTGAAAGCTTAGGAAGCAAGAAATCCTGAACTGTTTATCAGATGTTAACATTTTATAGATGAAATAATTCTACAAGTTTTATAAACATGTTTTCCCACATCATAACCCTTTTTTAGTTGGAAATGACCCAGACATCAAAATGAGCATCCAAAATAATTTTAAGATTTTAAATTTCATAAAAAGTTTACCTGCAAGCATTTACCCCATTTACATGTATTTGATTTTTTCATTTTTAGTCATTAATCTAGATTACTTTTGAAAACTGAGATATTAGCACTAGTCATTATTTAAAGTTATTTTCCTGTTAACCATTTTTAAAGCTCATAAACATCAGGGGTTCACCTAAGAACCTTAAAGTTAAACACATGGGCATTTTGCTGACAACTTAGAAGATTTGGCTGTTTTCATTGAACCACCAATATTAAATTAGTCTTATGTATCAAAAAAATCATACAAACAAAGATCATTCTGCTTTTGGCTGGGTTTATAGCCTTATAACTTTTATGCCAAATCCAGACAGCTTAATATATCTAGCAGAGGCAAATACAAAACATATCTAATCAGTAAACTCAGACAAAAATGTATACTGACACTTCTGAAGACATTTCTATGTTAATTTTATTAATCATATTTAAAACCAGTTTTATTTATCAAAGATTCGTGTGAATTTGAAGAGCTTTTGGATTTCATTTATGAGTACTCATTTACTTATAAGCCAGCTTGGTAGTGTGCCAGATATGACACATCACATAATACATTAACATCACATAAACATATCTAAACATGTATATGCACACACAAATATCCAATAGCTTTTACCTTCAAATTCTAGCCATAAGATAGCAATATAATCTCATCATTTTATAAAAGATAGCTGGATCTGAATTATTTTTGTGACAAAATTGGAATCTGTTCACATGGCTGAACTTTGTTTGCCTTAGTAGGTAATCCAAGAAAAGCGATGGACCAAAATTTGGGTAAAGCAGTCTCTATGGCAGTTCAGTTTTGTTTTTTATTTTTATTTCTATTTTACTTTAAGTTTCAGGATACAAATGCAGAACGTGTAGGCTTGTTACATAGATATATATATGTGCCATGGTGGTTTGCTGCATCTATCAACTGTCATCTAAGTCTTAAGCCCCACATGCATTAGCTATTTGTCCTAATGCTCTCTCTTCCCTTGCCCCCCACCCACCAACTGGCTCTGTTGTGTGTTGTTCCTTTCCCTGTGTCCATGTGTTCTCATTGTTTAACTCCCACTTACAAGTAAGAACATGTGGTGTTTGGTTTTCTTCTGTTCCTGTGCTAGTTTGCTGAGGATTATGGCTTCCAGCTTCATCCATGTCCCTGCAAAGGACATGATCTCATTCATTTTTAGGGCTGCACAGTATTCCATGGTGTACATGTACCCATTTTCTTTATCCCATCTATCATTGATGGGTATTTGGCTTGGTTGCATGTCTTTGCTATTGTAACTAGTGCTGCAATAAAGTAGCAAGTAGATAAGGGCCCAAATGTGCATGTGTCTTTATAGTAGAATGATTTATTTTCATTTGAGTATATACCCAGTAATGGGATTGCTGGGTCAAATGGCATTTCTGGTTCTAGATCGTTGAGGAATTGCCACACTGTCTCCACAATGGCTGAACTAATGTACATTCCCACCAACAGTATAAAAGCGTTCCTATTTCTCCACAGCCTTGCCAGCATCTATTGTTTCTTGGCTTTTTAATAATCGCCATTCTGACTGGTGTAAGATGGTATTTCATTGTGATTTTGATTTGCATTTCTTTAACAATTAGTGATGTTGCACTCTTTTTTCATATGTTTGTTGGCTGTGTAAATGTCTTATTTTGAGAAGTGTCTGTTCATATCCTTTGCCCACTTTTTGATGGGGTTGTTTGTTTTTTTTCTTGCAAATTTGTTTAAGTTCCTTGTAGATTCTGGATATTAGCCCTTTGTCAGATGGGTAGATTACAAAAATATTCTTCCGTTCTGTAGGTTGCCTGTTCACTCTAATGATAGTTTCTTTTGCTGTGCAGAAGCTCTTTAGTGTAATTAGCTCCTGTTTGTCAATTTTGGCTTTTGTTACAATTGATTTTGGTGTTTTAGACATGAAGTCTTTGCCCATGCCTATGTCCTGAATGGTATTGCCTAGGTTTTCTTCTAGGATTTTTATGGCTTTGGGTTTTACATTTAAGCCTTTAATCCATCTTGAGTTAATTTTTCTATAAGATATGGGGAAGGGGTTCAGTTTCAGTTTTCTGCATATGGCTAGCCAGTTTTCCCAGCACCATTTATTAAATAGGGAATTCTTTTCCCCATTGCTTGTTTTTCTCAGGTTTTTCAAACATGAGATGGTTGTAGATGTGTGGTGTTATTTCTGAGATCTTTGTTATGTTCCATTGGTCTAGATGTCTGTTTTGGTACAAGTACTATGCTGTATTGATTACTGTAGACTTGAAGTATAGTTTGAAGTCAGGTAGCATGATGCCTCCAGCTTTGTTCTTTTTGCTTAGGATTGTCTTGGCTATACGGGCTCTTTTTTGGTTCCATACCATTGACATTCCTTACAGAATTAGAAGAAACTACTTTAAATTTCATGTGGCAGTTCAGTTTTTAAAAGTCTCTTTTATCCTGTTTTTCTTCCATTCCAAATGAGTTTCCAATGTTTACATTTCAGTTAGAACATAAATAATGAGTCCTATCTTAGCACCACATCTTAGTAAAAGCAGATTCAAAGCATATTCAAGGCAGGCAGGAAAAAAAGAGAAGGTAGCTTTAGAACTCTGATTAACTTTACAGTTGCAAATTAACCATGTGAGCTCTGACTTTTTTTTTTTTTTTTTTTTTTTTTTATAATTTGCCCATCAGTTTAAAATGTGCACAGAAATGGACCATAATATGTAACCAGCTGCAGTCCCAAAATCAGGGGCCTCTAGTGAGCAGAGGAGCAGCCTCTATTGATGCCTTGCTTTTGCCTCTATCAATAATTCCCTGCAACTAGATTGCCAGGAATTGGGCGAATTCTCCTTACTTTACACAACCGGTGTTGATGGTACCATTCATTATCCCAATAGGCATGCCTGTGTAAATTCTGCCACACAGTTAGGAGAGCCAAATGTGTCAAAGAATTAATTTCCCCAACAGGCTAATGACTGGCAATGACCAGTATAGCCTTTTTTTTTTTAAGCATATCCACCTTAATCTAAGTCCAGGTCCTGCTGCAATCCCAGTAAGCCATAATGGAAGGGCAACAAATGAGATGGCAAAACAAGTGGACAGAAAGGGTAAAGGGCAAAAGAATTGGAGTTGGGACTGTTTCAACGTTTATCCCAGGTATTTCCGACAAATAGCATTGAAAACCATAAGTGGGATACAGGCCCATTTAGATAACCTACAGAAGAAATCACATGCTTCTTTCCCCCATAAGATTTGGCACAGCTCTGAGAAGTACTTTGGGGTCCAATACAGAGCAACCCAGCCAAGAGCCAAGGTGACAGAAATTGTTCTACTTCAGGGTTGGATCCCTAGATTGAGTGGGGGGGCTTATACACGCTGCCTTAAAGGGTAGAGAAAGAAGGAAAGAAAGTTGCAAGTAGATAAGGGCCCAAATGTAGATCACATACATACACAGTTACAGATTCAGATGGTACACTCCCAGGCTGATTCCCCATCAAGGGGACTGGATAAAAGTCCTGAAACCTTGTCTCAACTTCAGATGGCCCCATGAGCAGCTAGGTCAAAACAGAACAAAGCTCAAGTGATGCCACAGATAAAGATGGTGTTCCTGCCCAGACAATGTCACAAGCAGCTATGTCCAAATGGAGCAGAGCTCAAGTGTTACCACAGAAGAGACAGAGGAGAACTGGGTGCATTCCAGTTGACTTATCCAGTTCTGAAGTCCGTCAGCTTCTTCACATGTCACTTACCCTGCACCAGCAAAGTGTAGTAGGCAGCTAACGCCATGACAGGGAGAGAAGGAAGATTGCCTGAGACAAAAGTATCTCAGCAGCTGCCAGGAAAATGCCCAGAGCCCCAGCTGCAGGGTCAGCTTGCCAGCAGCAGCTAGTATTTATGAGCAACTCTTTTCCCATCCGGTAGCATGAAGAGGAAAGCCCTGGCACACTGCTGCAGCCAATTCCCCCACTCGCTGCAAACTAGGTTGACAGACTAGACCACTCAAAATGCAGACTCCCTAAAGGGACTACCAAATTTGTAATGAATGCAAGCTTGGCTGCTTGCCACATATAAAGCCAAATGAACAAGGATGAGATGCAGTGAAAGGAAAGTGACTTTTATTCCAAAAGCCAGCAGTTGGGAGAGCCAGGCTCATGCCTTTAAAAGACCATTCCAAACTTTAGGCTGGGAAGAGGAGTTTAGAAGGGGGAACTTGGGGTGGAAGGCATGCAGGAATGATGCTGGGTACAAGGTCTGTGTGTTTTGTCCCAGTGGCTGTCTTGAATCATGGTCCACTTGGAGCATAGGCTGGTGTCATCTTCATGATGGCCAGGTTGTAGACTAACCTCCTTGAGGTAATCTCTGGAATTTTACAACTGACTCTCCATGTCTGATTTGTTTCAAAATTAGCCCCTGGAACTTCTAAGCAAGCACATAATTAGATAAGTCAGCAGTGCAAGGGAGTGTCCGATGGGAAGGGAGGGAAACAAAGTTCCAAAGTATGTTTTAAAGGCAAAAATCAAGAAAGGAATAAAAAAAGTTTTAAAATACATTTTGAATCTAAGCTACTCAGTTACAACTAGATTTAATAAAATGACATAAAATAAAACTAGACCAAAATATGAAGATAAGTTTGCTTTATATAAGTTAATGACCTAAAACAAAAAAAAATTCTAACTTAAATCTGAGACAATAGGTACACTTGCAATAGGGATAAGAAAATTGGATTCAAGTATACATTACTTGATGATACATAACTTTTATTATTATTATTATTTTCATTTACCATAAAGTTTACTTGCAAAAATAACTTCTATGATTTTCATGATGACTATTAAGACTAACCCTTCCAGTTTTAGAAATACAGATGTGCTTATAATTCCTGTACCCTTGTATTTATTTTATAGTTGATTATGTTACAGTCACCTTTGAGAGAAACAGAACCCTAAGTGAGGTATGATATCGAATATTTTATAAGTTAAGAAATTTTGTTGTACATGACTTCATGGATTGTGATTAATCTAAAAAATCCTACAGACTGAAAGGCTTCACAATCACTCTTTGCTCCCAGGGGTGTTTCTACTTGGGTTTAGTAGTACTTACCTAATTATGTTAATCAGGACCTAAGCAATGATTTTAGAAAAACAATTTGTACCAGAAAGAGATGCATTGCAATGTTTTCTGGGCTCATATCCCTCAGAAGAGAGGCACAGACATTAAGGAATTTTTTTTTTTTTTTTTTTTTGAGACAGAGTCTCACTCTGTCTGCAACCTCTGTCTCCCAGGTTCAAGCGATTCTCCTGCCTCAGCATCCCAAGTAGCTGGGACTACAGGCGCACTCCACCACATCCAGCTAATTTTTGTATTTTTAGTAGAGACGGGGTTTCACCATGTTGGCCAGGATGGTCTTGATCTCTTGACCACATGATCCACCCCTCTCGGCCTCCCAAAGTGCTGGGGTTACAGGCGTAAGCCACTAAACCCAGTCACATTAAGGATTTAAAAAAAAAAAACAATTGTGATCAGTCAGAGCAACACAATGGTTATTAATTTATTTTCCTACTGTTACTAAAACACCAGGGATTCAGTCTAGGTCCTGCTGCTTGCTGTATAGACTGCCAATCACTGAGTCAACAAGTATTGCCAGGGAAGACGGCTTTAATCGGGTGCTGCAGCCAAGGAGAATGGGAGATAAAAATCTCAAGCCTGTCTCTCTGAGTAAAATTGGGGTATTTACACAGAAAGAAAGGTAGGAAAACAGGAATTAGAGATGGGTAAGGAAGCAATCATGATGGATGAGGAGTCTGACTTCTCATTATCTGGATGTGGTGATCTGTTGAGTTTCAGTTCCTTGCCTAAGGGTCAAGTTTCTTGCCTGAGGGTCAGTTTCCTAAAGAAGGAATTCAGATGAGACAAATGTAGGTTTTAAGACCAGGAGTTTAAAGACCAGTGGGTTTTAAGACCAAGGAGGGAGGGTTAATTTCTGTTTGTTAAAAAAAACTGTAAACATTAGTTCTATGAACAATTGGGCTAGTTTCACTAAGAGAATTAGAACTTATGTTTCAAAAACAGCATTAATTTTTCCCTTCTTTTTTTTTTATAGTCAAGCTCTTGTTTTTATAGTCAGGAACCACTTCTTGAATGGGTACCCTGCTTACCTTACGTTTTTAAAGGAATGAAAAGTATTCCAAGAGTGCTAACATTTCTTGTTGACCAAGAGCATGGTACGGGAGTTTTCCTCTTCCATAACAAGGTGGGCCTTATATCCCAGAGGGAATTTATCTCGACATGACAACAATAAAAATTTTCCTTAGCGAAAGTTATTTTCAAGTTCTTGTTATGTCTGGCAATAGAACCTAATAAAATTGGCTACAGCAAAATTATTTAAGATCAATAATATAGCTTGACACTTTAGAGATTTCTTGCCTGATTGTCATTCATTTTGATGAAAATGGAAAACGTGATGCTGTGTGCATAGTGATTCTCCCTTGCTAATTCTCTAAAGAATATAAGCTGGGATTTTTCTATATAAATTTAAGATTCCATAAAATGCTTAATTAAACAGAAAAAAAATGGAATTAATTGCCACAGATCTATATTTTTTTCTTCCAAACGTCCTTAACCTTACCTGTGAATTAGAATTCTTCTTGGAGCCATTAAAAAACATATAAACTGACAGTTGTGATGGTTCATGCCTGTAATCCCAGCAATTCGGGAGGCTGAGGCAGGAGGCTTGAGGCCAGGACTTCAAGACCACAGTGAGGCACTACTGCACTCTAGCACTCCAGGCGAGGTGACAGAGCAAAACCCAGTCTGAGAAAACAAACAAACAAACAAATAAAACCATAAGTTCAGCCCCTATCATCAAGATTGTAGGGAAGGAAAAAACTCTTTCCTCCACCTTCTTATGTTCAATGACTGCAGCCTTGCAAATTAAACTGGAAAAAAAAAAGATTAATAGGAGAAAACAGTTTATTTACATGTGCAGTGTGCACACATGGGAAACTCAGTGATGAGGTTAAAATTTGGAGGTTAGGTACCATCTTAATAGGTGAAGGGGAGAGGGAGAAAATCATTTATGGAAACACAAATTGCTTTTTAAAAAAAAAAAAAGATAAATGGGTTTTCAGGACAGCAAACAGGAGATACGATTTTTTATTTGTTTGTTTGTTCTTTGGGGCTTTTTTGAGATGGTGTCTCACTCTGCTGCCCAGGCTGGAGTTCAGTGGTGCAATCTCAGCTCACTGCAACCTCAGCTCACTGCAACCTCTGCCTCCCAGGCTCAAGCAATTCTCCTACCATAGCCTTCCAAGTAGCTGGGATTACAGGTGCCCGCCACCACACCTGGCCAATTTTTGTATTTTTTAGTAGAGATGGGGTTTTGTCATGTTGGCCAGGCTAGTCTTGAACTCCTGACCTCAGGTGATCCACCCACGTTGGCCTTCCAAAGTGCTGGAATTGCAAGCATGAGCCATAGCACCTGGCCAGGAGATATGAATGATTTCGATAATGTTTGAAAATCTAGGTATGAGTGGTCTTTCCTTCTCCTTCAGGGCTATAAAACTCCTCTGGAGAAGGGATTTGGGACAGGTTTTATTTGCATTCTTCCTTCTGGGAGTAGATCTGCCCCAAAGAGGAATTTCTGTCAGCCTCATTTCCTAGCAGTTCCTGCTTTTAGTCAGACACCAGAGGCTCCAAAGTTTATTCTTTGCATCTGTTGAATCTCAACAGTCTTCAGCTTAAAATTATCTTTATATAAAAGTGGCATTTTTTTGTTTTGAGACAGAGTCCCTGTCACCCAGGCTGGAGTGCAGTGGAGCAATCTTGGCTCACTACAACCTCTGCCTCCCAGGTTCAAGAGATTCTCCCACCTCAGCCTCCCAAGTAACAGAAATTACAGATGTGTGCCACCCCGCCGGCTAATTTTTGTATTTTTAGTAGAGACAGGTTTTTGCCATTTTGTCCAGGCTGACCTCGAACTCCTGGCCTCAAGTGATCCACCCAGCTCGGCCTCCCAAAGTGCTGGGATTATAGGCGTAAGCCACTGTGCCTGGCCAAAAGTAGCATATTTTGAGGTTTCATATCTCTTTTTTTTCTTTTGAGACGGTCTCACTCTGTCACTCAGGCTGGAGTACAGTGGTGTGATCATAGCTCACCGTAGACTCTAACTCCTGGCTCAAGCGATCCTCTGCCTCGGCCTGATTAGTAGCTGGGACTACAGGTGCATGCCACCGTGCCTGGCTAATTTTTAATTTTTTTAATGCAGTTGGGTCTCACTTTGTTGACCAGGCTGTTCTCAAATTCCTAGGCTCAAGCAATCCTCTCGCGTAGGCCTCCCAAAGTGCTGAGATTACAAACACTTTTATATAAAGATAATTTTAAGCTGAAGACTGCGCCTGGCCTGAGCTGTCATATTCTGATCCCCTTTAAAATCATGGTTGAATAGAACTGGGGTGTGGCTTAGGCATCCATACTTTTGGCATGATAGTCATAAGCATGGGCTTTGGAGTCTGTCTGCCAAGTTCAGCAGTGATTCTATAATAAACCTCTTTGCTCTTAATTATAGAACTTTCAACAAATTATTTAATCTCCTAAACTTCATTTTCAACAACTATAAAATGGGTGTGTGGCAGGGGCCAGAGTAGTGGAGTAAAGAGGTAACAATTACTGTTAATCCTTCTAGTTCTATGTTGTGTTAGTGAGTGTATCTCTCTCTTAATAAAAATGCAAGTAACAGGAAATTCTAAAAATTGTAACACAGACTAATAATAATGGCAAAATTCTCATGACTTGCTCATTCTTTGTTTACCTAGGTTAAGAAAACTGCCGTTGTCTCTGTGAGCATCCTGAGAAATAAGGAACCAAGTGCACAAGCAAAATTTCCAATTTTTCGGTTTCCTCCATCATTCTCTTCTCCCGTTGGAATGGTATTTCATCCCCGAAGCCACTTTTTATATGTTTATGGCAATCAGGTGTGTACACGTGAAACTTCAGTCTGTGTTAGAGTTAAATCATCCACCTACTGTATGCTGCATGGTTGTACATTAAGAACAGAGCTTCTCTGATGACCTAGAGATGGCAGTGGGAGGGAAGACAATATTTATTGACTATTTATTGTATACTAACCTTGGTGTCTATTATCAGTTTTTACCTTTCAGGTAGTTCATTGGCTGATGAAAATGAGCCATGGGTACATCAGAATTATCTTGAATGTTGCCAATTACTATACATGTCTTTCCAGCTCTGAATTACTTAGATTTTGCCACTAACCTCATCAAAAGTGTATTTCTAACTAGTGCTTCCAGCATTTAATGTTTGCCTTTTTCTGTTTGATTTTGTCTGAGCTTGACTTTCTGGCTTTGTTCTTTAAGTTCCTTCTGGTAGCTTTTTCCACCCTCTGGCTGCTCCTTCAGTCAGTTCTGTATCAGTACACTGAAAGCTTGGTAAAGGAGTAGTTATACCATCTATGGAGCATCTGACAGTTTAAAAAAGTAAGGGCCACAGATTATGAAACATTAAGCAAAACTTTGGAACTAAGAAAGTACTGCAATGACTTCCAAAGAAGGAACTAATTCAGTTTCTCAACTATCTATATTATGTGCAAAATTTAGAGATTTGTAAAGATGATACCCTGTTTCCAGGTCTTCTTAAAACTCTCTTCCATATTTTAGTTTTTCACACTAAATGGTTATGTATTAGTCCATTCTCACACTGCTATAAAGAACTGTCCGAGTATGGGTAATTTATAAAGACAAGAGGTTTAATTGACTCACAGTTCTGTATGGCTGGGAAGGCCTCGGAAAACTTATAATCATTGTATCTGGAATTGGTTCCTTCTGGTGGGTGCTTGGTCTCGCTGACTTCAAGAATGAAGCCACAGACCCTTGTGGTGAGTGTTACAGCTCTTAAAGATGGTGTGTCCGGAGTTTGTCCCTTCAGATGTTCAGATGTGTCCAGAGTTCCTTCCAGTAGGTGCGTGGTCTTGCTGACTTCAGGAGTGAAGCCGCAGACCTTCACAGTGAGTGTTACAGCTTTTAAAGGTGGCATATCCGGAGTTGGTTGTTCCTCCCCTTGAGTTTCTGGTCTTGCTGACTTCAGGAATGAAGCCACAGACCCTCACGGTGTTACAGCTTGTAAAGACAGTGTGGACCCAAAGAATGAGCAGCAGCAAGATTTATTGTGAACAGCGAAAGAACAAAGCTTCCACAGCATGGAAGGGGACCCGAGTGGGTTGCCGCTGCTGGCTCGGGTAGCCAGCTTTTATTCCCTTATTTGACCCCACCCATGTCCTGCTGATTGGTCCATTTTACAGAGTGCTGATTGGTCCGTTTTACAGAGTGCTGATTGGTCCATTTTACAGAGTGCTGGTTGGTACGTTTACAATCCTTTAGTTAGACACAGAGTGCTGATTGGTGCATTTATAAACCTTTAGCTAGACACAGAGCGCTGATTGGTACATTTTTACAGAGTGCTGATTGGTGCGTTTACAAACCTTTAGCTAGACATAGAGCACTGATTGGTGTGTTTACAATCCTCTAGCTAGACAGAAAAGTTCTCCAAGTCCCCACTCAACCCAGGAAGTCCAGCTGGCTTCACCTCTCAATCTGCCCTCTAAACAGGACACCCCAACTGCTGTTGGGAATTGGCCAATGACAGCTCTAGCTACTTCCTGCTGGATAGAGGTGAAGAAGGGGCCCTACAGTTGTAGTGTCCTCCAGAGGGGAATTATTTAGGCCAGTGAAAGGGCCAGTGGGTCAGTCCAGGGGTCCTTGGTAGAAGTTGTTAGTTGAGCTCATTTGGGGTTCCATTTGTAAGACCATCTGTAGCTTGATGGCCTCAATCCTAGAGGAAACAAATTTGACAAGGAGGTTAAAAATACAGGGCCCAAAGGCAAGTAACAGCAAAATGGCTGTCACAGGACCTAGAAAGGGGAGAAGTCATGTTGCCCAGCTCCAGAGGTTGGTATAAGAGTTTGAAAGGCGTTGTCTGATTTCAGAAGCCTTTTCCTGTAAACACCAGGCAGCATCTCTTTCTATCCCTGACTGGCTAGTCTAAAAACAACACTCTTTCCCTGAGAAGGTGCAGAGTCCTCCTTTCTCAGCAGTGAGGGGGTCTAGGCCTTGGCGGTTTTGGAGAGTCACTGCTACCAAAGAGTCTATTTGGGATTGTAGAGTAAAGACAGATTTCGTTATTTCTTGCAGACTGTCTGAGAGGTAGATATAGATTGAAGTTCCACATAAGAAGAATATGCCTTGGCTGGGTAGACAGAAATTTACCCTGGCTTTTAAAGGAATAGGGTACACTGTTTTTTCTTGACTACTTCTATCTCTCTTTCCTTCTGTCTTTGACTTTGTGTCTCTCTCTCTCTTTCTTTCTCTCTGAATTTCTGTCTCTTTATCTCTTTCCTTTCTGCTGGTCTTTCCCTGCCTCTGCCAGACACTTATGCTGCTGTTCTCCTCTCTGCTTTCCCTTTTTGATGGCTTCAGCAGTGTAAGACTGCCACCTCCTTGGGTTTTTGCACTGCGTGCAGTAACTCCATAATTTCCTTGTGGTATTTAACGGGCGTTCCCCCAGAGGTTAGGAGCTCCCTTTCTTTCCTTATTGCAGCATGGGCCTGTAGGAATAGATAAGCATACTTGCTATCTGTATACACATTTAGTCTTTTTCCCTTTCCCAGTTCTAAGTCTTGGGTTAGTGCCACTAGTTCTGCTAACTGGGCACTGGTCCCTGGGGGAAGAGGCTTACTTTCAAGTATGGTTACATCACTAACTATGGCATAATCTGCCCTTCGTATCCCATTCTCCACAAATGAACTTCCATCAGTATATAGGTTAAGGTCAGGATTAGCTAAGGGGACTTCTAAAAGATCATCTTGGGCGGCATAAGTCTGGACTATAATTTGTTGACAGTCATGCTCGATTGGTTCCCCATCCTCTGGGAGAAAAGTGGCAGAGTTGAGGGCCACGCACATACATATTTGAAGCACCAGTCCCTCAAGGAGTAGCACCTGGTATCTAAGTAGGCAGCTGTCTGATAGCCATAAACTTCCTTTGGCACCTAGTATGCCATTTACATCATGAGTAGTCCAGACAGTGAGATCCTTTCTTTGTATTATTTTGATAGCCTCTGACACTAAGATGGCCACTGCTGCAACTACCCATAAACAGTGAGGCCAGCCTTTTGCTACTACATCAATGTCCTTACTTAGGTATGCCACTGGTTGTGGGGTTGTCCCACGAGTCTGAGTAAGGACTCCAAGAACTATCCCTGCTCTCTCTGTGATGTATAAAGAGAAGTTTTGTCCTGTGGGAAGGCTTAAAGCTGGAGCTTGTACTAGGGCCTGCTTTAAGGTTTTGAAGGCTGTTTCTGCCTCTGGTTCCCATTCTACTAGATAAATATTTGCCCTCTGGGTCTCCTTGATTAGAGTATAGAGGGGCCTGGCTATCTTGCTGTATCTGGGGGTCCATAGTTGGCAAAAGCTGGTGATTCCAAGGAACCCCTGCAGCTGTTTTAGTGTCTTAGGGCAAGGATAAGCCAGTATAGGCTGTATTCATTCCTTACTGAGGACCCTGGTTCCTCTGGCTAAGATTAGGCCTAGATATTTGACCTGCTGTAGGCAAAGCTGGGCCTTCAACCTAGATGTCTTGTACCCTTGATTAGCTAGAAAGTTCAAGAAATCTAGAGTAGCCTGCTGGCATGAGGTTTCCGAACTGGTAGCCAAAAGTAAATCATCCACATACTGAAGGACCAGAGTGCCTGGACTTTAGAAATGGCCTAGATCTTGGGCCAGTGCCTGACCAAACAGATGAGGGTTATCCCTAAACCACTGGGGAAAGACCGTCCACATAAGTTGGGATGTGTGGTCTGTGGGATCCTCAAAGGCAAAGAGAAACTGGGAGTCAGAGTGCAGGAGAATACAGAAGAAGGCATCCTTGAGGTCCAGAACAGTGAACCATTCTGCTTCCTCTGGTATTTGAGAGAGCAGGGTATAGGGGTTGGGTACAACTGGATATAGAGGAATTACTGCCTCATTAGATGAGTCTAAGATCTTGCACTAGTCTCCACTGACTGTTCAGTTTTTGTACTCTTAGAATTGGGGTGTTGCAGAGACTGCTGCATTTCCTTACTAAGCCTTCAGCTTTTAAATGTTTAACAATAGCCTGTAATCCTTTATGAGCTTCAGGCTTTAAGGGATATTGCCTTTGATAAGGAAAAGTGGTGGGATCTTTTAGCCTGATTTCGACTGGGCAGGCATTTTTTACCCTTCTAAATTGTTCTTCCAATGCCCAGACTTCAGGGTTGATTCCCTCCTCAAGTAGGGGACAACAAATGGGTAACTTGTTCCCCATATTCATGTAGATAATAGCTCCAGCTTTCGCTAATATATCCCTCCCTAATAAGGTGTGTGACTTTCAGGCATCACAAGAAAGCCATGTGAAGAGAGCAAAGTCTCCCAATTACAACTGAGGAGGTGGGAGAAATACCTGGTTACAGGCTGTCCCAGGATTCCTCAGATGGTAATGGACCTTGAGGACAGTCGTCTGGGACAGGAGATTAACACTGAAAAGGCCATGCCAGTGTCCAAGAGGAAGTCAATTTCCTGGCCCTCAATGGTTAAACATACCCGGGGCTCAGTGAGGGTGATGACATGAGCTGGCACTTGCCCTGGGCACCCTCAGTCCTGTTGTTGGATCATCTGGTTGGGGGCTTCTGGCCCAGAGAACCATTGCACTCTGGGGCAGTGCACTTTCCAGTGATTGCCTCGGCATAGCGGACATGGACGAGGGGGCGGCTTGTTTCTCACTGGACAATCTTTTTTAAAGTGTCATTGTAAACCACACTGATAACAAGCCCTGCTGGGTGATTCCTGCTCCATTTTCTGTCCCCTCTGAACCACCAAGATTTGTTTGTCTGAGGACCATGACTAAGGCTGCGGCCTTTCTCTGATCTCGCTTTTGCTTTTGGGCCTGTT